ATGAACAACAACAACAATATGTTGCCCCCTTCTTTTCAACGGGAGCCTATATGAATAATTTAGGAATATTCTCCATACAAAAATAAAAAAGCCTAAAATGGTCCTCAAAACTTCAGTGCAATGTGAAATTGATGTGAAAAGAGAGGACAAATGTCCACATATCTGAGGTTTTATTACACATACATCATGTCATCTTGAAATATTTAGCCTTCCTAGTTGAAATGTATTGAGTTGATTTGTGGAAATAAACCATTTTTATATATCCTGAGGATCATTCTCTCAGGTCCATTGGGTATTCTGGGTTTCTTTTGCTCTCAAGGTGAAAGTGGGATATTCAATGAATTTTTAAATTACCACAAACAATCCTTAACAGTCCATAAAATAGCAAACGCTTTTTACTCCACCTGGGGACTCAACCGTATTTACCTTTTGCTGTGTCCTGTAGTATTCATCTATCGCGTACTGATACTTGGATTCAGTGAGTCCAAAAAACGAGGCTAACTTTCCTCCAAGGAATTCACAAGCTGTAAAAGTGATTGGACAAAATGCGAACCTTTATTTTAAGGACAAGCAACCAGTCAAAAATAGAAGTTTTGGGAGGGAACATCACTTCATCTGATGACTCTTACTTCATCTCATGGCACAAGAACACTCCCATATGACAGACCTTGTAGTTTTTTAATGAGTAGTATAAATATACAGATTGGTTGCTAGGGACAGAAAAACACACCTTCTTATCCATGGATTTTGATGCTAACTATTATTTTATTTTAATTGCCATAGCAACTTCCTATTAAATCTTAGGGTTTGCAGTTTAGGGGAAAGTTAGAGAGCTCCTTTAGTGCCTCACCAAATTACAAATCCCAGGGTTCCATAGGATGCAGCCAAGGCAGTGCTATAATAGTGTGTAAGGAGACTTTAGCCATTATTTTACCATTGAGAAAAGGTATATTTCTCTATAGTTACTAATGATATGGTAATAGTTTTGCCCTCCCATTCTGACCACTGTCTATGACAAAAATGCTCACATGTACTTACTAAAAAAACTTGTTGCTGCAATTCGAAGGACCCAAAGTCGCAGATAACTGAACCAGGAGAGGTTGGCCTATGAGACAAAGAGAAAGATCTATCTGTGACAAGATAAACATTAATCCATGGTGGTCCACATTCTGGTGACATCCTGTATAGATTACTGCAACACACTCTACGTGGGGTTGCCTTTGAAGACTGTTCGGAAGCTTCAATTGGTCCAATGAGCTGCAGCCAGGTTGCTCACTGGAGCGGCGTACAGGGAGCATACCACCCCCTGTTATGTCAGCTCCACTGGCTGCCAGTCTGCTACTGAACACAATTCAAAGTGCTGGCTTTAGCCTATAAAGCCCCAGATAGTTCCAGCCCAGTCTACCTGTCCGAACATATCTCCCCCATGAACCATCTCAGAGATTAAGATTGTCTGAGGAGGCCTGCTCTCAGTCCCATCTTCTTTGCAAGCTTGGCTAATGAGGACGAGAGACAGGGCTTTCTCATGGCTGCCCCTCGGTTGTGGACCTTCCTCCCTAGTGATATTAGAGCAGCCCCCTTCCTCTGAGCATTCAGAAGGAGAGTAAAAACCTGGCTCTGGGAGCAGGCTTTTGAGAAATAGTGCAGTGCAGAAATTTTAATGTGGAAAATGTGTATTTGTATTTTCACTGTGTATTGTATGGCATCAAATGGCAGTCATTTATGTTGTAAGCCGCCCCAAGTCCTCAAGGAGAGATGGGACAGGGTATAAATAAAGTTGACTTGACTTGACTACGTGGCCATCTCTGAAGCCCAAAACATCTGGAGGCCTAGAGTTTGGGAAACACTGGCCTAAATGGTAATTCTGTTTGTAATCTCATTTTTCAAGACATTATAATAACACAGAGATATGCACAATTTTCTTGAGTATGTTCTCCTACCAAAGCAGTACAGCAGAAATTGGTGCTAAATTTCCCCTTGGAGTAATTTTCATGTCCTAATAAAAATAAAAATAAGCACCTATCTCATGACTGTATCCACTTCATCCTGAGATTCTGGGAGAGAAGAGTTTAAACTATCCTTCTGTTTGACTTATTCCCATACTATATCACCACTTAGTAGTACAAAGGTAAGCAATCAGCTGAAGCATGGGAACAGCAGTTTCCTCCTATTATCTGCCACAGTAAGCAAGCAGTTTAGGCAGATTCTGTTCATGTGTTTTTTTAGGCAAAGCAGAAATGGGAAAGGTGTAGCCCAGGGGTCCTCAAACTAAGGCCGGGGGGGGGGGTGGTGGTGGATACGGCCCTTCATTTACGCGGCCCTCGCTCAGGGTCAGCCTAAGTCTGAAACTACTTAAAAGCACACAACAACAATCCTATCTCATCAGCCAAAAGCAGGCTCACACTTCCCACTGAAATACTTACAAGCTTATATTTGTTAAAATTGCTCTTCATTTTAATTATTGCATTGTTTTTAAGTGTTTTTGCACTACAAATAAGATATGTGCAGTGTGCATAGGAATTCATTCATTTTTTTTCCAAATTATAATTCAGCCCTCCAACAGTTTGAGTGACTGTGACCTGGCCCTCTGTCTAAAAGGTTTGAGGACCCTGGTGTAGCCTAAGGACCAAATACAAATCTGGATTGTTTTTGTAGCCCCAAGGGGTCAAAACTCTTTCCAAAAATGGTTTGCCATAAAATATCCTATGGGATGTGTGCACACATCTTTGCCATGTTTTTGAACACCCCCCCCCCTACCAAAGCTGGTTTAGACCGGGGGAAGGGCATTAAAAATAGGATATTAAACAAGGCTTCTCTGGACCCTGCAAGGAGATCCTAAAAGCATGGCAAAAATGCACCCACACTCTTAGTTTGGGGGCATTTAAGGGGCAGAAAATGTATATTTTTTTCCAGAGGTGCCACCTTTCAAGTTCTCTGGTTTGTAATATGATTGTCAAGCCTCCCAGTTGTATCTTCAATCAATCTGATGTATTTCCATTCCACACATAATCTAGGTTGAAAATTTGGTATTCTTTCTATAAGGTTTGTTCAGATGTTAAGCTTCTAATCAGAGGTCTAACCCTGAATCCTCTGTCGTTTGATGGTCAGTAGAGACAGAACAGACGCATGGGACGTTTTCCCACCAGTGTTATAGAACAGAGGTTATCATCTGCCAATCGTCTGAGTTGCTCCTGCAAAATTCTGGGAAATGTAGTTCAGGGCAGAGCCTTTGGAATTCTCAGCTTCCCTAAACTACATTTCCCAGAATTCTGCAGGAGTAGATGGGATAATTGTCCTCCATTCTATAACATTGGGAGGGAGGAGAACATCCTATATGTTTGTGATATGCCATGTGCTCTTCCCAGACAAGTTAATTAAAAAGTAGTCAGTATTAGGTAAACATCTTCATTTTTTAACCCTCATCTGTATACTAGTGAACCCAATTCCACCTGCTGGTTATATAGGTTGAATATTCCTTATCTGGAATTCCAAAATACTCCAAAATATGAAATTATCCAGGTGGATGACTGAGACAACACCACCTTTACTTTCTAATGGTTCAATGTTTGCAACCTTTGTTTCATGCACAAAATTATTTTAAAAGGTTATGTATAAATTATCTTCAGATTATGTATATATAAAACATAAATTAACTTCATATTTAGATTTTAATCCTATTTGCAAGATATCAGAAAACTCTTAAAATCAAATTTACTTCTGGATCCAAGTGTTTCGGATAAGGGATACCCAACCTGCATTAAGATCTTATTAACTATTTCACCTTGCTTTACATTGTTACATTTACTATGCTACATTTGTATCACTATTGTTAAATGCCCTTTATTTTAAATTGAAAGCTAGTATATATTTAAATTATCATCATCATCTCACAGTGTCAAGAAAGGGCTGATGGTTGTTCTCCTCTTCATCTTCTTCCTCTGTACTGCACTCTTCCATACATTCACCGTTTGCAAAATAAATAATCCTTCTTGGATTTTTACTTTCCTCTGAACTTTGATCTGTTTCTTTCTTGTCAACATTGCCTTCCTCCTGCTTATAAGAAAGAATATAAAGACATAATTAAATAATTTTAGGAGAAAAATTAAACTTCTTGGATTTCATTTTGACGTGTTGAAAATTAGAAGCAAAAATCCTGGACCAGATGGAAGGTCATGTCAGAATTTCACAAAGGTGTCTAGATCAGCAATGGACAAAGTTGCATGTGGCCCCACCTCCTTGGTCGACAATTAAAAAAAATATTTACAACATTTTTTACCCCCTAACGGCCCCTATAGGGCATAGGGGCATTTTCATCACTTTTTGGGGCTTCTCTGGATCATTTGATGACTTCTTTTTATAACAGAAAGTGTCTCCTAGGTTACTTCCCAAAGTTATTTTGATCCAATGCCAGCAGTTGAACTCTCTGCCCTGGAGTGTGGTGGAGAATCCTTCTTTGGAGGTTTTCAAACAGAGGCTGGGTGGACATCTGTCAGTGGTGCTCTGAATATGATTTTCCTGCTCCTTGGCAGGGGGTTAGACTGGATGGCCCACGGAGTCTCTTCCAAGTCTATTATTCTAATGACTAATGAAAGAGCTGTTAGCTTCAGTCTAAAACAATGAGGATATATAGAGTGTAAATTTGTTAAAAAAATTAACCTGTTTACTTATGGTGACATTAATTTCCTAGTTTTCTTGGGTAGGACAACTCAAAGGTGACTTCCCATTGCTTTCCTGTGAAATACAGATTACAGTGTCTGATATTTTTTGGTGGCTCCCCAACAAAGTACTAACTGGGATGGATCTACCTTGTAGAATCAATGCAATTTAATACCATTTTTAATTGACATGGCTCAGTTCTATGGAATCCTGGGATTTGTAGTTTGGTGATGCACCAGCACTCTGGAAGAGAACAACTACAACTTATTTAAATCCATAGCATTGAGACATGGCAGTGAAAGTGATGTCAAACTATATTAATTCTAGTTGTAGATGCACTTTCCTTAGCTCTCCAAGATCAGGCATCTTCAGGGTATTTAGGTTTACTTGATGTATCTAATTTTTTTACACATTGAGTTTACTGTGTAATGATGCATCCTTATTTTTATATTTTATGTTGTCCTGTTTGCATTGCTGCTGTTCGTAAGCTATCCAAGTCCCACTTGGGAGATGGGGCGGGATATAAATAAAGATATTATTATTATCCTCCCCAATCACATTACTCAGAAGCATGGTGTGTATTTTTCTTGACAGTTGCATTTATCTCCAGGTACAGCCATAAACAACAGGTAAACCTTTCAGAAAGCTCAAAGGATTTTCTCCTCAACTGTTCGTAAGAAATTATTATCCGTACCTATTCCTGAAAATACAAAAGAGCTATAAAACACAATGGTAACTCACATTTAGAATCCCTTGGCTATCTTCCATGGCAGAAATAAGATCTGATTAAAATGCTGCTGAGGTAGGTAAGAGGGAAATGAGAACACATAACTGGAAATCCATGCACAGTACATTCGGGAACATAAGCAGCTCAAAACAAGTGGCCAGTCAGGAAAAACAAAGTTGAAACGTTTCAGGATATTGCTCTCTGAAAAGGGGCTGGCTGTATTTGGATTATGGGCCGGGCCATATCTGTCTTTTTGTTACATACCAGATCTAAATGATTGCAGTGAGAAGCAAGGGGAATGCAGGAACCTGTAAAACTAATACTAGAGGTGGCAATAAGATCCTTTGTTTTTAAACCAATGCATTACAGTTTTAGGAATATCTTGTTCTGAATCCTCACTACCACAGAAAAGCTTAATAAGATTGCAAGCCACAGGTGTAGTGTTTGCCTTTGTCTACAGTTCTGCCATTTCTAGCCAGCCAAAAACAAATATTACACACCTTTCTTGAGAAAACAGAATTTGCTTGCAATCTGATATGCTACTCCATCTACCGGCTGCTTTGTGAAGTTGCCACGTATTAGGAGAAGACTGAATTTTAAAAAGATATTGTAACAAGTCTGTGTTGAATGTCTAGTAAGGAGTAAGCCATAAGCAAATTAGGTAAAGAGAAGTGCTTATTTTCTTTTGAACTGGTCCAGTTTTTACATAATAAGGGATTAAAATTCTAAAAGATAGCTTAAACATTTTTCCAAAAGCAGGGTTAGACATAAGGATATGAATTCTAGAGAAGCTGAACGAGAGAATGGGAGCCACATTAAAAACTGCGGTGTACTAGACAATAAGAACAAATTGCACTATAGATGCCTACACACCAACACACAGGATCTGGGAAACAAGATGAACTTGAAGTTGTCGTTCAGGAAGATTTTTTTTTTAATGTCAGGAGCAACTTGAGAAACTGCACATCACTTCTGGTGTGAGAGAATTGGCCATCTGCAAGGACATTGCCCAGGAGATGCCCAGATGTTTTACCATCTTGTGGGAAGCTTCTCTCATGTCCCCGCATGGGGAGCTGGAGCTGAAAGAGGGAGCTCCTCCACACGCTCCCTGGATTCGAACCACCAACCTTTTGGTCAGCAGTCCTGCCGGCACAAGGGTTTAAGCCATTGAACCACTGGGGGTTTCAGTTCAGGAAGGTAATAATGAGTTTATCGGTATAAAAAAAGACTTGGGGTGATTCTGATTATTGGAATATAACAATTGAAGGACACAATCTGGGGAAGTATAGGTGAGAGAGAAGCATTAGCACACAAATTAACTTGCACAGAATAATAATAGTAAATATCATCATCATCATCCCCCTGATGGGTGCCACCTTGTCGTGGTGGGGAGCTTAACTGCTCCAAGGATGCTGAGAGCTGTGATGGCGGTAGTGTAACTACCAGCAGGTTCAACCAAGTCAGAGAGGTCTCAGCTGAGGAGTGGAACTAAGAGCACCTAACCCATTAGTGCTATGGAGAAACAAACCAAAACAAAGTCTATACTGGCTCGGTCGACGCCCAGGATAAAAAGGACGCAGTGGATGCTGCTGATTCTGGACATCCATCAACAAGTGGGCTACTGAATCAAAATACAAATGAACATTCACAGAAGAGGCAGAAATATACAATGCCAGATCTAAATGATCTAATATAGATCTCGTTTGCTGTGACATACTGTGCTTTTGTATCAGTAAAATAATAATAATAATAATAATAATAATAATAATAATAATAATAATAATAATAAATTTATAATCTGCCCTATCTCCCCAGGGGGACTTATGCCAGATTAGTAGAAAAAGAAATAAGAGGAGAAATAAAGGCAACACTGTGGTAAGAGTTTACTATGGGTCACCAAACCAAGATGAGGTTGGTAGATGGTGCTTTCCTGAAGCTAATCTCAAAAACCTCCAAAAAGCAAGAACTCCTAATCATGGGGGAACTTCTGGTATTTGCTCCAACAAACGCCTGATGTGCCTTGCAATCTTGAATATTGATCCTAACCAGATCTGTTCAGAGTATTAAAGGAACTTGCTGACATACTCACAGAACCACATGCCATTGGGTTTTTTAGGTATCTTGGAGAACAGGCATAGTGCCAGAGGACTGCAGACCAGCTGGCCTCTTTAAAAAGGACACAGAAAAAAAGATCCTGGAAACTACAGGCCAGTCATCTTGGCCTCGATACCAGGAAAAACATTAGCACGGGTTATACATTAGTCTTGTTTGCAAAATTTTCCTTTGAGAAAAGTACCACTTTCATCAGAATATGACATAGAATGAAAACAGTGTTAATATTTAATTTTATCCAGAAAGAATTCATTTTTAATTTACAATTTATTCTAGCGCAAGTGGCTGAGGCAGATTACAGTAGACAGTTTTTAAATTTTTAATCACATCCCATTTAACCATCTTTATCAATATAAGCAGTATATAATATTTACATAATAAAGAACATGAAGATTATAAAGTGCAAAGTTGTCTTTGTGGTAATATATTGAAAGGCAACAACTTATCCTAGACCTCTAAAGACATAATCATATGGACTCGTGAACACAGCATGCTAAATGGAAACTTGCTATAATCCCAAAGTGGAGAACACAATGTTGGCCAAAGGCGGGGTGTGTGTGTGTCTTGGGGGGGGGGGGATTTATACTAGAGTAATTAACGTCTCACAAAAGTCACAAGAAAAGATGCTAGTTGATGTTCAAGCCACAGTGACTACATTTAGTCAGTCTTAAAATAGAACACGGGAGGACTCTCCCCCTCAAATTATATCATGAGCCTTCCCAAGACTCTTTGGGAAGAACAAATTATAATAGTTTTTACTCATTTCTGAAAATTCAGGCTGTCAACACTCCTGATCCTGAGGTTAAATGCAAAACTTTCACTAGTCCATCCTTTGTTTTCTTTTCTCTCCTCTCCACTGAAAACCGATCAGTGCACTGGTTAGATGGAGTGCTTTGGAGGGGGAAAGGAAGCTAAAATATATTAACCCCAAATGATTGGGGATTGAGTTTTAAAGGCCATGTTAGTGTATTTCCTGTATTTTAATTTTGTTTTTAGTATACTGTTACTATTTGTTTTTAAAATTGTCTAGTGTGGAGTATTAGCTGCCTTGATTTCCCACGGGGAGAAAGGCGGGATATTAATAAAGACAATAATGACATCAAATAAATAAATTATACATTATAAATAAATAAATGCATGTAGCCAGTAACTTTTCATATTGGTGACATTATAAATATGAACTCATGTAAAAATTTAGAATTTCAATGTATGGGGTCTCAAATCTTCTCCTGCACCTGGTTTCCTTACTGAAGCCTAGCCAGGTGATCAATAGTATCACAATAACTAAGCCAAAAATTGGCCTTACCATTAGGCTGGTTTTGGGTGTCATTAAAGGGCAGCAGGTTTTTAATTTCATGATTATTGAATTAAAATGCAATAGGGATGAACATATGTGGCTTGGCATTGGATCCTATGCTCCTTGATTTGGCAGGACATTTGCTGCTCTGCCCCATGTAGCAAAATATTTCTAAACGAAAGACTATTCAGTCACAGTGCCTACAGAGGCCTTTGTCACACACACTTTGGAATGCAAGTAGTCATATATTTTTCTCAATACAAACACATTAAGTACATCATAAAATAATCAAAGTAATGGTATTAATCCTAAGAAATGAAGTGAAAGCCCAGTGTCAATTCATTTAATTTACACAACATTGTTAAGATGAAATGCCTCTCAAGTTTGGAAGATGACTAAGGAAGCTTTAATCACATATACAGATCTTGAGCTACATTTTGTAAAAATAAGGCTTAAAATCAAACATTTTCTTATGGTACATGATATTGCACAAGCAGGAGCTTTCTCAGGGATAGGCAAGAGGAAAAGTAGTCACAAAGAGATTGAGGGAAGGGAGAGATTGTTGACAAGTGATCAGTAGCAAGCATTACAGTCTAGGTGTTGTGTGTTTGCCTGTGTGCCAGTTTTTCTTTTTCAAAACAACAACAAAAAAAACTCCTCACACCTCCAGTCTCCCCTTTGAGATTTGATTTAATTACAGATTTCTTTGGCTACAGATTAGAAACCAGTTTTTAAAAGTTTTCTATTCTTTTCTTCTCTTGATCTTATTTTCTAATCATCTAGCTCAGTGGTTCTCAGCCAGGTGTTTTGGCCTACAACTCCCAGAAATCCCAGCCAGTTTACCAGCTGTTAGGATTTCTGGGAGTTGAAGGCCAAAACATCTGGGAACCCACAGGTTGAGAACCACTGCAAGCTCAATCATTACTTGTGGAGACCTCAAAAGCTGATATTGTTACATATACATTGACAGTTGACTCCCTTATCCATGTATCTTACCCATTCAAAAAATATTCCCTCCCTTGGAGTATTTGTGGGTCACTCTTGGTCCTCCAGTACAAATCTAAAGCATGATTCAGGCCTAAGTATAAACTAAAATGTATAGCTTGTTATTCCACACAGTTTCAAGTATGCATGGAGGTCTATGAACTTATCTCCCCCCAAAAATGGGTTGTACTGGACATCTATTTTCATTTGACAAGAGGGTTCTCGGTGGTTGTCATCCAAGTTGCTCATTAGCTCTGTAGTTGCTCTGTAATTATTTCATGCTACAAAACCTCAAACAGACCACAAAAAGGGAACAGCATATTTTTACTGAAAGGGCCAATGCTACCAATAATTTTATCACTGTTGTGATTAATTTGTGACTGTGATTGAAATCTGTGAGAAAGGAAATATTTTGTCATTCCTGAGGTCTAGCGTGAAGCTTTAGTATTGCACCAACAACCAAAAACCCAAGGAAAAAAAAGTACACATTGACATTTAATTCAAAACTGTAGCTTCAATTATAGGACATAATGTATCTCAGCTTCACTGCAATGCTACCGGTTTGGAATATGTGGTCAGAAATGAGCACAATACACTTAGCAAAAGATTATGGTTAAGAGAAGGAAGGAGTGAGGTCTGAAGAAAAACAAAATCACACAAGGAAACAAGAGCCATGTGAGCTGGAAAAGAGTTGGGTGAATAAATGAGATATGAAGGACATCTAGTACATCTCAGAAGAGAAGAGGGTTGATCAGAGGTTTTCTGACATTTAGTCATAACACCTGGCAACAAGCTCATAATGACCAACCTGCAGCCCATGGCCTGCTTTCAAAGGACTCTGAGAGTGTTTTGATTCACATCTCTAATAAGACCAATCCATCCATCCTTCAACCATCCATTGGATGGGAGAGAAAATAAAAGAGGGGCACCCCCTGCTCTCTTCAGCTTCTTCTCAAATAGACATATATGAATTCCCTCCCCAGAGTTGAAGGGTGAGGGACTGAGCAAAACAATAAGCTGCTGATCTTCTACTGAGAATGCTGATTAACTGTGGGAAAATTTGATGCAGTCCAGAAGATGGAAGGGCATCAGTGTTAGATCATGAGGAATATTAACTATTAAGTGGAAGCACAATAAAGCTGTGCTTACTTTCAAACCTCTATGAAATCAATTACGCTTATTTTTTTAATACAAATTGATATGATTGGGCAGCATAATTGATTGCGTCTGGCTAAATTGATGGATGAATTGTTTGCTAATAGCAGTTTATTTATGGCACTTTTTATTAACTGGCTAATGGCATAGTTGGTGAAAATGAATAATTGCAAATGACTAACCTGAAACTCTAGGAATATCCTAATTACACATCCTGAGACTGGTGATCACAATTACCTGAATGCTCTCTTGACCTTTACATAACCTGGTAAAACGTTGCTACATGAAACACTGTCACACACACTTTCATAGCTTCTGTTGTTCTTCCATCCAATTTGGTATGAGATTGTAAGAAAATACCCAAAACAAATGCTTAATTTTAGTGTTCGATAAAACCAATGTAGAGTTGCACTTGCTTGACTGACATACTATCAATGTTTAATAATGAAACATTCTGAAGCACATTATTTTCTGGCCTCCATAAACATTTCCAAGTCTAGCCATGCTGATACTTGACAGCAGTGCTTCTCACCCTGTGGGTCCCCAGGTGTTTTGGCCTACAACTCCCAGAAATCCCAGCCAGTTTACCAGCTGTTAGGATTTCTGTGAGTTGAAGGCCAAAATATCTGGGGAACCACAGATTGAGAATCAGTGTTCTACAGCATTAAATAATCTCACCAAACTGAATTAACCTACAGAAGTTGCCATCAGTTTACACATTTCAGTTTACAAATACATAAATGAGATTCTAAACACAAATCTGTAGGGTTTGAAAGGTTCTGTAAAGTCTGATTTCACTTGTAGTTTTCTTTTTTGTTGCAAGGTTGCGGTAACCTATACGTAGCTAAGAAGAATGAAACAAGGCCAAATACCACATTAAATTGCTTTACAAACTTGCATTTGAATCCTGTTCTAGGCATCTGCCCTGTGAGATATCTTTAACTGTGTAGAAAAGACCCTTATTTACAAAAGAGACACTGCTTGCTACTTTGAACGTGGAAAACAAACCTTTGTTAGGAATCTCTCAAACGTTATGAGAAACAGGGATAATCTAAATAGCATAAACAGAGGCAGTGAGATTATTTCAGCTTCCAGTTTCTACCAAGAGTAAATATTTCTTAGATTCAACCCCAGTGCTTCCATTCTACTGCCATTTAATGATTTATCCATAATTTTACCAAGCCTCCAAAATCAACCTTCACACTCTTGCTTTGAACATTTCTATCTACTACAGTTATAACTCTTCTCAACTGTATTACCATCCTATTCTTTTCTTCAACTTCCTAATTCTCTTTTGTTAGAAGCGCCTCCATGTCCAGTTGCAATACAGCAGTGAATAGATACCCATCAATTCATTTCTTACCCCACCCTTTTCCACAGACAGGATATATACTGCCTTCCCTACATTGTCCTTTTGTACAATCTGTTTCTACATCCAGGTTCATTATTCTAAGCCCCCTTTTCATGTCACTATACAGTACTTTCATGTCACTATATTCATGTTACTATACAGTACTACTATATACCCGTGAGTCCTCTCTACAGGACACTAGTTCTCCCTCTCTAGAACAAGCAAGCTTTACCTAACAGAGCACGTTCATATGAAATGTAAAGTTCTCCCCTTAATCATCTTACTTCTATTAAGCTCTTAAGGTATAAAGGCTGAATCATTTCTAACATGTGGTTCTGTTTTTTCTCCTTTACAGCAATTATATAAAAAAAACTTTTGTGTTTGTCAAAATAGTAGATCAAACATCACATGAAAGCTCCATTTTCTTGTATTTGTCTTGCAGTATTTGAAGTGTGAAGATGAGCTGTCACCCTCTCAGGGCTAAAACAACACTAGTGGGAATCTTCTATTTCCTGTGCTGAATCTTTCTATCTTTACTCTAGTTTTAAAGTGGTACTTCTATACATTTCTGTGGATTTTAGAAATTCTCTTGCTCTTAAAATGTGATCTTCACATTCATTTTTCTTGTTCTCTTGCCCTGGCTTCAGTCAACTTTGTTTTTATACAGCACTTTACATGTTCCCACAATAATTCTTTTGTTCAATTCCCTATTACTGCACTGCCTTAGATTTACCCCTTGTATTCCCTATCATTTCTTTCATAATCAGGTGCCTATTCAGTTTGAGATTTTAAGTGCTCACTTTCTGCGCTAAGATCATACACTTTTTCCAATCGGGTTTTATTCTTTCCATTCCCGGTCAGCTTCCTTTGAAATGTAGTCACGTAACTCAGCCAAAGTACAGATACGTATAAAACGTGAAAAGCTGTGAATTGATTTTAGGATGAAGGAGTCCAGAAGTGGCAGTAAATGGGGAAGACAAGAGAACCCCAATAGTCCACAAGATGCAGCTCACAAGAGGTATTTAAAAGCACTTGCAGAATTTAAGAGATCTGGCAGCCTGTGTCTTTCTGAGGCTTTATGTCTGGCTCTTTCATAGGTTTCACGTCTTCCTCTGGTTTTGGTTTCGCCTACAAATAAATAAAAAAAGAATAAGAGAAAATTGTCTTACTGGATATCATAAACTCCACCCCCCTTCCTCTGAAAAACAGATTCCAGCAATTTTTGGAATCAAAACACTAATAAAGTTTTAGTTTAAAAGTTTTAGTTTGAAAACACAATAGAAAGAGTGGCAAATGTACTAAAAGTATAAACCAGGCATGGCAAACTTCAGCCCTCCAGGTGTTTTGTACTTCAACTCCCACAATTCCTAACAGCCCATGCCTGGTATAGACAAACTATTATTAAAAAGATAGCCAAGTAGGTTAATATAAAAAAGCTATATTTAAAAACTTTGCATCATAGTAACGTTTCACAACATGGAAGTTAGAAAGAAAGCAAAGATACCCAGTAAATGGTTCCAAATTCTTCAAAAAGCTATTTTCTTTCTCTCACACCCCCCCCCCCCCCCCCCCCCCCCCCACACACACACATACACCATAATTTCTTTATGATGTATGAAAGGGCTGAAAGAGAAGCAGAAGACTGCAAATGGTACTGGTAGAAAATGCCGAGAGAATAATTTTTCTTACACTGTCCTCTTTTGGCCTTTTGGTGAGATCGAACGCAGCAAGGGTTTCTGGGGTCCACTGGGCATGCACTGCAGGGAACTCAAAAGGAATAGGCTCAACCAGACCATAGTTAGCTTTCAGCTCTAGCTGGGGAGCCTCTGAGGGAATCTTCTGGAAGTAACTAAAAGAAAGCCACACTGAAGATTAGCATTCTCCTAATTCTTGTTGATAATTTCATTAGCTGGGAATGAGTGATGCCACAGTCAACTTGCATAATATAACTTTATGAAGATCACTGTTGATAGACTACCTTAATAAACAATGGCAAGTGCCAAGTATGCCATACATATTGTCACACAAATAGTCTTCAAAAGGCAGAAGTTCCAAGATTAGGTGAGATATGGGGAAAAGCTTTGTTAGGCAAATAGAACATTTTCTCTTGACAAGTGTCTCATTTTTGCCTGCCTAGTATCAGGAGAGGTCTCATTTTCTTTCTGTTACAATGCTGTACCTATAACTATTTGACACAAGCAATATTTTCATAATCTGCTGTGGCTCAATTATGTTGCTTATGTTGGGTGAGTGGGCTTATTAACAAAAGACCCTCCTCATAAATGTACAGCAGAGTAACTTTTTAGCAGCAGTGTGATCTAGCACCAGTAGCCCAAAGTGATAGAAAGAACAAAAAACACAGACCAATGTTATCTCTTCCATAGGAGGCTTTTCTTTGTAGTAAAATAATATGGTTACACTATTGACAAGAACAAGGTTTCTATAACACAAATAAAGTTCATATAATTCCTTCTTTGCTTCCATGCTGAGCTTCTTTTTTATGCAGATAAACTGCTTCTAGCTTCATTTTTACAGAGCATCCTCTCAGACCGAACTTACACAGGAGCTTCACACAGTAGCTTTTTACACACAGCAGCCTTTATACACTGGAGCTTTCTCACACAAGGCTTCTCTCACACAGAGGTTTACCTCACGGTCCTCAGGACTACACTAGCTTTGGCCCACTAACTCTTAACAGGCTTCAGCCTACTAGACTCACATTTTTGTAATTGAAAATACCTAGTTAATTTTTAATATTTCTGACAGTTTCAACTATAGTGCTCCTAACACTAATAATGTGCATGCCACCTTAAATTTGTTATGCAAAATCATCTGGCCCTACCATGGTCTTTTCAACCTAACAAGCAAATAAGAGAATGGAGCAAAACATTAGGATAGGGAAACATCTTGTGTCGGCTGGGCAGCAGTCCATCTGAGACAAGTAAAATGAATTAAACTTTAAATAATGTTCACCATATATCGGGTGGGGGGTGGGGGGGGGAGAATTAGGGGGTTTATTTTTCAAAAACATCAAGGATAAAAATCATTTTAGTGTATGAGAAAACTACAAAACATACTTACATAAATCCATTTTCTCGCTGGGATTTTTCCAAGGTATTTTTCACCAGAGTTCCTAATTTTCTAAAGAAAAGATGGCCGGAAGGCTTAGCTGTAGTCCCAGGGCCTTTGGTTTCACCGTATTCTTTGCATAATGCTTCAGCCTTTGCAAAAACTTCACAAGAAAGCAATAAAACTGTTTTATTATCCTTTTGTAAAATACTTTTGTAAAATAGGTTTATAAAGAAATATGTAATCTACTGTGTTCAGTAGAAATATAATTTAACACAATGAAAAATGGCTATACAAATATATTCTTTACATTGTTGTTCACTCATGCAACTACTGTGTTTTATTAAAAGTATTTATTATTTAGCTGCCCACTAGGGTTACAACAACAACAAAAACAGCACTTACTAAAAGCAGATTAAAAAACAGCTTTTAAAAACATTTTTTAAAATAAAAGGGAATAAAACCCCCCATAAGGCATTTTTTACAGTTTACTTGGCTTCCCCTACAGCTTTAGAATAATACCCAATAGTATACCTGGAAAAGTGACTTCTAACCATACGATAAATAACAAAATAGGAGCATTTCATTGTTTGCTGCTTCTCTATTATGTTCTGCATTACAAAAACCTGACTACAATAACAATTCCTCTCCTTTTTCAGTGTGAATGGTTTTAACAGAAATGCACATGGGTTCTGATCAAATTTCTTATCTTGACTACTATAGATCCAGTGAAGCAAACAGGGCTGTGCAAATGCTGCCTTATTTTTGAACAACTAAGTACATTGATGCACCTACTCCACTTTGAACTAGCAACTGGATTTCTTTCCCTACATATCAGACTGTTGGAGAAGACATCTATCACAGCACTTCATGAATCTATCAAGAACATGATGAAACCTATTCAAAGTATATTTTTCTACATTTATATTTACATATTTAGACATTCATGGATGGTTTTGATATTCTGAAAGTCAGAAGAGAAGAACGATGTTTTTCTTCTTCAAGAGCTAGGAAGAAACAAGTGCAAAATCAGTACCTACATTTTTCTGCTTCTTGTAAGGCACGAATTGATTCTCCACATTTATCACTGGCCAAAAGGGTTTGTCCATGGTAGCAATAGGCCTGGAGAGAAAGGTGACTTTTTAAAATGCTATGAGCACACTATAGAGCAATGTTCAGTTCTCCTGTGCTTCAATGAAAAGTGTAGTATGCACCACGACCACAGAAGGAACAGGGCTGAATACAAAACAATAATAATGTATTGTCAAAGGCTTTCATGGCTAGAATTACTAGGTTCTTGTAGGTTTTTTTCGGGCTATAGGGCCATGTTCTAGAGGCAAACGTCAGGAGAAATGTCTCTAGAACATGGCCCTATAGCCCAAAAAAACCTACAAGAACCTAGTAAAACAATAATAAATTTTCCAGCTTGTTTGTAGTAGAAGATTGTCCAGGTTAAAGCTTGATAACACAACCAAATATATTACAGAAGTATGGAAAGTAGCTGAAGTGGTGAGGAACAGGACCAATTCAGGATCTCTAGCTCAAAAGGCATTTCTGCTCTGTAGTGATCAAATCCTCTCTGATGATTCACTAAGGATATGTATGGACGAGATATTTCTTCTTCTGGCCAAACATCCCATCTGAGACAGTGCATAATTCTGTCTGATGGAAACTTTCACGTATCAAACACACTAGGAAATGGCTATCATGCAAGACAAAATGCTGAACAACATATCTGTAAACTCTGAAATCTTTACATATGGATTCCTGTACAGAAATAAGCTTCCCTCCAATGTTGATTACCAATTCCTGCAAGAATTTGACAGAATGCTGAAAAGTCTTTTGAAGGATTAATAAACCTAAAGAAAGCACTCACATAAGCCATATAGAAGCATGACTTCAAATGAAAATATTTTCGCCACTTCAATGTGTATGCTGGGTCCAGACTGGATAACATTTGATCTGGAAGGAGACGATAGCATTGTGTTTGTAACATTTTCTTCTATGGCTTTAAAAATTTCTGGAAATTTTACATTTCTAAGGAATTGTCAAGTAATCAATTTGGCTTAATATTTCTGATTATCACACTAGCTATCTCTAATGCATACAAGTGTTCTAAAATACTTCAGCCCATAAAAGACTTAGTTTTCTTCTTGCTCCAAAACATTATAAAAGAGGGAAACACAGTCAAAGAAGCTGAATTTGGTGAACTGAATGGCAAACCCAAACTGAAACTCTTTTCAGCTAATCTAGAGTGCTATAGATTCCTCTGATATCCTATTGCATTTCTTGGATGTCCTTTAGTCCAAAATAATACTTTTAACATACCTGCTTTCAGATAGAAATTGGCTGTTTCATTGGCCAGCGCAGCTATTAGACCAGGATTATGTTTCAGCTCAATCGCTCGAGCAATCGTCACTAAGATAAAAAAAAACAAAACCTGTAACCATGACCATATCCTTTATAGATTATATCAATTCTGTTTCAATAATTTTAATACGAATTACAACTTAGCTATACATCCTGTTCAGAATGCAATATTCTCCTTTTATTTCTAACAGCTCAATACAGCAGAACTGAATGAAAGCATTTCTCAGTCAACACAACTAAAGAAAAACACCAGTTTAAATCAAAAGTGGGGCAAGTATGGCCTATTTGTTGACCAGCAAAGCCACTTTACAGCCTGTTAACTTCTGAAAACTCAGAATACCCTTTGGTCTTTTCTGGGCCTAACACAGCGGGAAGCACCGAGCTGGGCTTTCTGATGTAAAATCCACCAAAATTGGTTAACTGGGGGAAGCCATTCCACTGAAGTCCAGTGAATGCTGTTTCATCTCCCAGATTTTTGCTAGTTGCTCACCCAGTTATTTACTACTATGGTTGTTCTAATACTAGAGGGGTAAAAGGCTACAATGCCATTTTGAGGTCTTAGATTTTTAAAAACTAAAAACGCATTTCTGCATATTTTTTCTCTCCCCCCACCCCCACCTTTTTTTTCCCAGGAGAGGCTTTTACTGAACCAGGAAATAATTTTTACAGCTTTATTTTTCATAAATGTACTCCCCTGCAAGATTCTGAGTTTACTTCGTGGTTAAATAAAGGATTCCATTAGGGACAAAACTGGCCATGGGTTGCAAAAGTGTGACAAAAGATTTTTTTCTTTAAAACTGTAAAAAAAACAACAGTGAAACAATTATCAGGTTTAGGGCCTCATGGGAGATGCAGCTTTCTGAAATCCTCTCAAAAACCAATGAAGCTCCCTAATCCCTGGCAGTTCCTTGCCCCAGTCCGTAGTTAAAAGGTGAGGCAGGATTTTTTTAAAAATCTCTAAAGTCCTAAAGGAAGTCAACCAGTTAGAGCAAACAAATCTAAGTGAGATATACCAACACCCACATGGTATAAGTCCCCTTCTTCACAAATTACTGAAGCTAGTAGGTTTGTGTTGTTGTTAACAGCAACCACACAATTTCTGCTGAATTTGCTTGGATGTGCAATCACATTCTGCCCACAAATTCTCCACCAGAAGAAAAGCTAAGGAAATCACACATAAAGACTACTTAAAAATTAGTTAGTACCTTCTTGAGCTTCAGCTTGGCACTGAATAATGTAGCAATCTATAAGCCGAGCTTCTAAATCTCTTCCCTTTTCTACTGGAGTGATCAGTTTAGGGATATGGCTTTCCTAAGGAAAAAAAGGCAATCAGGTTATTGATTTCATTTATCCAGACACAGAACATGCATATGTGTGCCCAACATATATGAAATCTCCAAAGATTTATGTGACCCCATTATTTAGAGCCATCCTGTCTCTAGACAGACAAAAATATTTCCTTACTGTGATGTGAGTGAGGCTCTCACGCTATCAAAGAACCGGGACTATCAGTATATTAGGGTTAGTATACATAAGGTTAGCAAATTTACATTACATGTAAAGATTTTAATATTCTAATTCATTCAAGCAAGCAATTTCTACATATACACCATACTCTTACAGGTAAACCCATGATGGATATTCTACAAGTCCCCCTGAAGATTACAAACAAATGTCCTCATATTAATGTACTAATACAAATAAGTTACTTTGTTAAAGGGGTGAAAGAGATAACCATCTATGACTAAAACATCAAAATAATAAAAGTAGAGTATGACAAAAATAAAGAGTTTTCACAGGAATCCTTATCATTAAGCTTTCAAAAATGTTTTATACCTTCAAGTGTTTGAAAATTCCAGCTGCTATTTTCATACTCCGATGGACATCCTTTGCTTCATCTTCCGTTATGCTAAAGGATTACCAATTTATTAGTACTGCAAATCCCCAGGCACATGAAACATTAAAATGTTTACTCATTCCTCCTTTAAACAAAGTTGCCAAACTTCTCAACAGACAAGTTCTTTTTCAGTATTCATTACTGCAGAGCTCATGACTGAATAGATGGATTGGGTTGCTGTGCGTTTTCCGGTCTGTATGGCCACGATCCAGAAGCATTCTCGCCCACATCTATGGCAGGCAACCTCAGAGGTTGTGAGGTTTGTTGGAAACTAGGTGAGAATGAACGTACAGCCTGGAACACTCACAGCAACCCAATGATTCCAGCCATGAAAGCCCTTGGCAACACAATACATGGATTGTTTTACATGTTTAATCTAATCCAATGAGTCAGAGGAAACCAGAGGAGCTAGATCAAGATCCTATTTCAAGCAGGCAGACTGTGATACCCTATCTGTTTTATTTTTGTATCCTCCCATATCCTGATAGCTGTTAAGCCTGAGTGTGTGTGGAGGGGGAGTGTTATTCCAGTGACAACCAGTGCAGAGGAATCGGGGACTTCAGACAATGAAAAAGAAGCTGATCTTGGCTTGGAGCAAAATTAATGAGGGTTCAATCACAGATGCAGCACATTTTTTTTCCTTCTCTTTTTCCAGTCCAGCCCACTGCATGTTTATCATCTCAACTGCTTCCTCCATCCATCCTGATAAGCAGTAGCAGACAATCTTCCTGGGTTTGACAGATGCTGATGTTTTTGGACAGGGTAAAAAGAGCTAAAAAATAGCTCCTTGCACAATCCTGAGTGTGCTGACATACTACCACCTAAAATTGTTTTATACTAGGTCAGGCTATTTGCTCATACACTCCAGTATTGTCTGAGCTAATAATAAGTGACCCTCAGCTAGACTTTTCTCATCATCAAGTAAGTATGGTTAAGATTCGATTCTAAATCATTTGACACTAAGAAATATGAATTTAATAACTTGGAATGTCTTTGGTTTTAAGAATAAGCCTGAGAATATGGCTTAATAGTCATAAAGACAGATAATTTTTCCCAACTAGAGTCTTGAAAAGTGAAACTTGAAATTTCATTGGTTTAATCATGAGTCTCTTCTGGCAGGGACTGGACTTCAGCCTTAAACCAGAATCCTAACTCTGAAATACAACCAAATCCAACTTGGAAAAGTTTTTTGTTCCATGTCATAACTATTTGGAGGGCCAAGGATTCCTCACTCTTGGCTTATAGACACCTGAGAACAGGATCACTAGCTAAACTTCTAAGAAGAAATTATTAAGTGAAAATACTCACTCTTCCTTTCCAGCCAACCTTGATGCATATTTGGTGTACCATAAAGCCACATTAAATCCCATGGAACAGAGTTCAAATACAGCATCTTGCTGGGTACTGAATAAAAATAATAAAAAGAAAAGAAACATGGATTCATGCACTATTTGTAAGATTTTAGCTAGCTAAAGTCATACAGTACAATCTTATTCATGTTTACTCAGATGTCAATACTATTGTGTTCAAAGGATGTACTCCTAGGAAAATGGTATAATGTACTCTTAAGCTTAAATCCAATAGATAGCCTCAGCTAGAATACTTACATGGAACTTTCTAAAACAACACATATGTAAAATTCACTGTTTTAATGGATGTACTTCAGCTGGAATTAATAACTAGATTTAGGTCTTAGAACAGGGGGTGGAAATCATGTGGCCCTCCAGATGTTGTTGGACTTCAACGCCCAGCCAATGGCATAGTAGGAATCGCAATTCAGCATCTGGACAGCCACATAATTCCCACCCCTCTTGTAGAACAAAAATGGTTTATATTTAGTTCTCATTCCTCATCTGGCTATTTCAAATCACATGAGCAAATTGTAAAGTATTAAGATGTGTGCTGCTCAAATAGATTTTTAATAGCTGAAACACACAGTTGTTTTCTCAGGAACAATTTGTGCTTTGTTTTGTGCTTTGTTATGAATGGCTAGGGCGAAATTTCTGTACAAATTCCAAGTCTGTAATAACCCACTCCTCCAAAGTGAAACACAGAAGTTCCAGTCAGTTAAGTTACAATGGGATATTTAAATTTTCTACTGAGTGCCAATGAGAAAGCAAATGCCATAATAGTGTTTTAGAAATTATACAGAAATATTCATATTCTCATGAGGGTAAATTTCAAGTCAATGAGCATTCTTCTGGGGGACATATATGGTGGCAGAGAGGATAAAAACACCCAAAATCATATACAGATAGTAATAGCCAGCTTACATGCATGTTTCCAGACACTATAAACATGGTTAACGGTTGAATTTTTGTTTAATTATTCACATCAACATGGGAGGGGCTGAGGGAATATTTGGTGCTCGTGTACAATCCATGCACACCAGTCTATTTTTTTCCCCACAACAAAGCTCTGTATAAAGTTTAACCAAGCTCAGCTCCACAGCATGTGTAGGATTTCAGTTACAAGACTTGAACTTTATGGTGAGCAACTCTGAAATTGATATATTTTTGCCACAGAACAGAAGAGAACAAAGAAAAAGATGTTCCAACAATATTGTGTCCATTAAATTATTTGCTATCAAATTTACTGTCCAGGAAGATTTGGTTGGAACAGGAACTAAAAAAAATTACTATTACCTTGGTACTTGTCCATGCAAAGTATCTATCCACTTAAAATTCTGAATATATCTCAGTTTGCTGTCCTGTGAAGAGTCATCCAGTGAAACGATAAAGCCTGATAGAAAGATAGAGAAATGAAGAAATGGTATTACATCACTACCTCTTCAAAAAGGCAAGCTCAAATGCTTCTCTTGATCTTCCAACATTTATTCCTATCTCTATATTAAAATTCCTTAACCTTATATATGCAATGTATTTTTCAAAGACATAAAACACAACTATAACCTAAAACATTGTTACCTATTTTCACACCCTATTTAAAATATTGATATTCTTTTTTTGCTCAAAATTAGTGGCTGTAATTCATCACACTGGAATGATCTGGAAACAGTTTGATATTATATAGTTGAAGCAATTGTATTTTATATAGGGAACTATTCAGCTGGCCTTTGTGTTGCCTATGCAGCACAAGAGAAAGAACGCAGGCAAGGATAACAATGTGTTCATTCTGGTGAAGCACATTAAAAAAACTCATGCTGACCAGATGGGATAATTCAAAACATATTTTTGCCCCCACCCCATATTTGTCAAGCATTCAAACCACATGTTGCCCACTGCTGCTTATATGCTTCTGTGATTTTTTTAAAAAAAGCAATAAGCCAAAACAAGTATGCCAGCTGTACCGAATGCATACCTTGGAGGAGTGAAAAATAAGAATCAGTTGCATTTTTCATCATATCTGGATTACAACTCAAATCTGTAAAAAGTTCCAAGAGTCGTGCTCGAGAGGACCTTAGATCACTGCAGAAGAAAACACAAATAATGCTCAAAGTATTGCTGAAAAACAAACTGTTCTGAGCAACTCATTCAATTATACTGTTATCTCTTATATATAGCAAAGATGTATTAGAATCACTTACTTGCAGATCTTTGCTGCAGCTGGAGTACTGGCTACCCCATAGTAATTGAATGTGACAGGAGCTGTAGCCTTTAAAGGGTTTCTATGAAACCAGTGAGTCATTTTTCCTGGTGGATTAAGAACGACAGCAAGCCTAGAACAGCAAATTGTATGTTACACTCACAAATATTATGCATCTCATTTCTTAAAAAGAAATGTTTCGCATTATAGAGAAACATCAAGACTACAGTCATAAACACATTTACTGGGAATTAACCCCATTAACTATCATAGAATATAGTAAACACATATAGTTTTATATGAAGTAAATTGTTATTTATTTATTTATTTATTTCGTGTACTTCTACCCCGCCCTTCTCAACCCCCGAGGGGGGACTCAGGGTGGCTTACAAACAGGCACAATTTGATGCCTACACAATAATACAAAACGTATAAAAACAGCAGTTAAACAATTATAACAATTAAAACAATCAATATGTATCCCAATCAATAACCAATCTCATGCTCAGTGTTCACCAACTCAGAGTCCATACATCATTCCACATTCTGTTCCTGTCCGTCGTCGTAGTCCTTTATTTATCTGCCAGATTGCCCAAACGCCTGGTCCCAAATCCATGTTTTTAATTTCCTTCTAAAGGAAAGGAGGGATGTCGCTGATCTAATTTCCCCGGGGAGTGAGTTCCATAGGTGAGGGGCCACCACTGAAAAGGCCCTGCTCCTCGTCCCCGCCAATCTCACTTGTGATAGAGGCGGGGCCGAGAGCAGGGCCTCCCCAGAAGATCTTAAACTCCGAGGTGGAACGTAGAGGGAGATCTGTTCAGACAGATACGCTGGGCCGGAACCGTATAGGTCTTCATAGTAGGTCCCTCTGCGCAACATTTCTTATAATGAGGCAGAGAGTGTTGGAGAGTTGGAACATTTGTAGGGATACTATGGCGCTTGTTTATAAAGCTATTGTTCTTCCAACTCTTTTATACACCTGCAAAACATGGACCGTCTCTCTCGACTTCTGGGACGATTCCATCAGCATTGCCTCCTAAATATCCCATAAATCTCTTGGGATGACAAGCAGACAAACACTGGCATTCTGGAAGAAGCAAAGATAATCAGCATGGAAGCAATTATCTTCTGCCATCAACTTTGCTGGACTTGCCATGTTGTCTAAATGTCCAATCACTGTCTCCCAAAGCAGTTACTTTACTGTCAGTTCAAGAACATATAACAGAATGTCCATGGACAGCAAAAGAGATTTCAAGATGGGCTTAAAGCTAACCTTCAAAAATGTGGAATAAACACCGAGAACTGGGAAGCCCTGGCCTTCAAGCACTGTAACTGGACGTCAATTGTTACCAATAGTCCTTTGGATTTTGAAGACACCTGAGTGTCTTCAAAAGGGAGAAAAGTGCCAAGACAAAGGCACATCAAGCAAACCTTTGTGGTGACAGCCTTTGTAAGTAAAATAACGGGGGAACCTGGAAATCTATGTCCTTTTTGTGAAAGACCATCCAAATCTACAGTAGGTCTCTACAGTCACTTATGGACCCACTGCCAAGACTCTACCCTTGGAAGACAATATTATTCAGTCACAAGTGGTCATCTATACATAGATAGTTTCTCTACTCCTAGATTTCCTTAACCAGAGGCCTTTTGAATGTTTCCCTTTATTCCCCAAGAAATACTTATGCTCTCCCAGAAGAGCTGTAGTGCAGCAATACTATATACTTGTGGTTAGCATGAGATGCAATGGCCATCACTCAAAATGCTTGACTTTTAAGCACATGACAAATGCAGAAGAGATACATAGAGATAATCAACTCGTACATCTGTAAAACTTTCAGGCCTTTTGTAAATGATATCCCAGTCCAGTTTTCATGAACTAAGTAAATAAATTTCCAAGGACTAAAATGTCCTTAAGTTAATTCTTTTCTAGAGGCAAGAAGTGCATGGCACTTATACATCCACATCAATGAGATCTGTTATTCAGAATTTCTATCAATGGAGCCATTATTACCCAACCTCCTCTATTTGAGAGATCACTATAGTCCACAAGGGGATTTTGCTTTATTGTCTGAAATTTTTGTTCAGTCTAGTTAAAGTGAATCATTCAATACATATATGCATTTATTTTTCTTTTAAACTTTCTCCTATATTAATAGTTTTTTTTTTTTTGAAGTGAGAGGCTGAGGCATTTGAAGTCTCTGGTGCTTTTACAAGCTTAGGACCAGAGAAGAAAGTGTTATAGCAGCTCCTCTATGAACAGATCAACAATTTATTCAGCCCAGTATTCCTTAGCAAAAAGAAGCTATACTATAAATACTGAATGTTTCAAGTGTTATTGTAACACAGCTTTTGTAACCGTTTTAACAAAAATATTTATTTATTGCAAAACCCAAATCAATAGGATAGATAGTTCTTAGAACAGTTATTTCAGATAAATTGAATTCACAGAAAACATTTCTGTAACAAGCAATATTTTTATCGGTTTGATACATATACTGACCTTTAACAAGTTAAAAAGCTTGCATGTATTCCTTTTATATCAATGTTTTTACAGGCTTTACATACATTATAAAAATTAACAATGGATTGAGAAACTGTCATCGCCCATCCATTGCCCATGTCACCGGTCTATGTTGTCTGCCATGAAAGCAAGCTGAAATCCAACAATATCTGGAGGGCACTCTAGACCCTTATACACATTGTAACCATGCAATATTATTACTTAGCAGGGCACTTGAGAGCATAATCTACTGCACAGGCTTATTTTCTTAATAATGGCAATACTAAAATCTTTTCCATTTGTAAAGGACATAATCAAGAGCTGTCACCCTGAGAGTTATATGAATGCAGAAGGACAACTGTACATGCATCCAGATATGTTTTTGAACCGTTTGTTGGAGCCACTTATGTGATTCAATATGTAAGGTATTTTAAAATGAAAAGAATTTTTCTAATCAATTGAATATCGGCTTGTAAAAAAACTTCAGCATTAGTGATTCAATGAGCTAGTTTGAGGAATCATTTTGAAGAGGAACTATATTAACTGAATGAGTATTATACACAAAAGATGCTAGAATATATTGTGGGGTCCAGTTCTGTAAACTAATGACAAGAAAACTATATAAGCTGTAGTATATGGGGTCTATAATTCTCTGCACATGGATTCAGAGGTACCTCTCCAACCCTAATTTCTCCCCAAATATTCTCTATATAGCATAAGAAGGGAGATGATGATCCATCCTCTGCAATGTAGCAGGGCTCATGGAGCACTGCTTGCCACAGTTCTAATCAGAGCATTACATTTCTTTTAAAATGGATTTTGTTATATTATATCTCACGTAATCTCCACACATTGTGACACTGGACTAAGTGTTTTCCATACTAGATTTCATACCCACCCAAACATCAGCCAGTTTATATGCCTGAAAGAAGGGAGAGCTAACTCTTTCACATAGCAATAGATTTCACTTAAAAACAAATACATGCTTTTAAAAATGCTCTGTACATGCTCAGGAACTCTATACATCCCTGAGAATAACAGTTTCCATTGAATTAGTCTTCCACATGTACAGGATGAGAATCCCTTATTCAAAAGACTTGAGAATGCCAGAAGTGGACTTCCCCCCCAGATGTTTGACTATCTCCATATCTATAAGGAGATATCTTGGAGGTGGCAACAGAGCCTAAACAAAATTCATACACACCTTATACACATAACCTGCACAGTATTTTAAATACTTTTGTCCATGAAACAGTTTGTATACACTAAATCACCATCTACCATTCAGGTGGACAATTTTGGAGCACTTCGGGTTTCCAGAAAAGGAAGGGCTATCGGCTAAAACCTTTCTTTTTAGCAAGTTTTACAGAAGAAGGTTTTTAAAGACCGAACCAGAGGTGTCGTTTTAGCTATGTGAATAGGTTTTTAATGGTTCTGTTTGATTTTAATTGTTTCAATATTTAATCGCATTTTAATGTTTGTATGTTTTAAATTATACATTGTATTGTTGTTAGTGTTAGTTGCTTTGGGTCTTTTCATAGAATCATAGAGTTGGGAAAGACCTCGAGGGCCATCTTTCGAGAACGGTTGTTTGATACTTCCAAGATGCCTCACTGTGCAATATTAGATTTTTTTTAAAGTGGCATTTGAACTGATCCTTCTATGCTGTGATGAGTTAAAGCGCAGTATTTTCAAAACGTAAGAATCAAGTGTATACTCTGTTTATACCAGCATGCATCTTATCTGAATGCACTATGCATCCAGGTCTAAAAAATTATAGAATTATAGAGTTGAAAGAGACCTTGTGGGCCATCCAGTCCAGCCCCTTGCCAAGAAGCAGGGAAATCACATCCAAGACACCCCCAAGAGATGGCCATCCAGCCTCTGCTTAAAAGCCTCCAAAGAAGGAGCCTCCACCACACTTCAGGGCAGAGAGTTCCACTGCTGAACAGCTTTCACAGTTAGGAAGTTCTTCCTAATTTTCATGTAGAATCTCCTTTCCTGTAGTTTGAAGCCATGGACGACGAACCTGGACTACGCTTTCATGATGAGACGATTGGGTTGGTTATTGTAATAATTATTTAGTGTAATTGCTTGTTGTTTATTAAGTGGCTAATGTGTTAAGTGGTCAATTGTTATATGTGCATTGAATTATTGCTGTTTTTATTGGGTGTAAACCGCTGTGAGTCGCCTTTGGGCTGAGAACAGCGGTATATAAGCAAATTAAATAAATAAATAAATAAATAAATAATGGTTCCGTGTCCTAGTCTCCAAGGCAGCAGGAAACAAGCCAGCTCCCTCTTCCCTATGACTTCCCTTCACATCTTGATACGTGGCCATCATGTCTCCTCTCAGCCCTCTTCGTCTTCTCCAGCCTAAACATGCCCAACTCTTTGAGCCGCTCCTCAAAGGGTTTGTTCTCCAGAGCCCCAGTCATTTTAGTTGCCCTCCTCTAGACACATTCCAGCTTGTCAACATCTCCCTTCAACTGTGGTGCCCAGAATTGCACACATTATTCCAGGTGTGGAATACACAGGGCTTTTTTTTAAAAAAAGATAAAGCAGGATACAAGTAAATATAATTTTATTTTATTTTATTTATACCCCACCTTTTCTGCCATAGGGACTCAAGGGGGGGGGGGGTAACAACCACATTGTCATCATATAGTAAGGCCTATGAGGCATAGGTGTTTCCTCACTTATGATGCAAACAAGCAGGAAACCAAGTCAGAAATAAGACTGATTGACACCGCTTCAATGGCAATGGCGCAGTGCTTTGGAATCCTGAAAGTTGTAGTTTGGGCACTCACACTCTTGGGCAGAAAAGGATAACGACCTTGTATAATTACAACTCCCGTGAATCCATAGCATTGAGCTATAGTGGTCAATGTGGAGTCAAACAGCATTGATTCTACTTTGTAGACCAGTGGTTCTCAACCTGGGGTCTCCAGATGTTTTTGGCCTTCAACTCCCAGAAATCCTTACAGCTGGTAAACCAGCTGAGATTTCTGGGAGTTGTAGGCCAAAAACATCTGGGGACCCCAGGTTGAGAACCACTGGTGTAGATCCCCCCCCCCTTCAAACACCATCCTAACAGCTGGCCTTCAACTCCCACAATTCCTAACAGCTGGTAAACTGGCTATGATTTCTAGGAGTTGAAGTCCAAAACAACTGGAAGACCAAAGGTTGGGAACTACTACACTACATAAACTGGCTTTTTCCCCAGCCTAGACTCTGTAAACCAGGGTTCAAATCCCTGCTTGGCCATGAAACCCATTTTGGGCAAGTCACACTCTCTCAGCCTCAGAGGAAGGCAATGGCAAGCCTCCTCTGAACAAGTCTGCTCAAGAAAACCCTACGATAGATTCTCCTTTGGACCCCCATAAGTATGAAACAACGGAGCCTCGCAGGCTTCCAGCCAAAGCGCCTCGCCCTTATTGTCAGCCACGTTCCCAGAAACTGTCGCCTCTATTTACCTTCTGTCTCCAGGGAGCACTTCCTGCCGGAGCCGAAACCACGACGACCACTTCCGGCCGAGGGGGTGGAGGCCGGTAGGAAGAAAACACGGAAGTAGAGCGCTGCGAGGCCGCTCTCTCTCTCACCTCTCTATGGTACAGGACTCCACAGAACCCTTGTTGGGCCAAGCTGTTTGGACTTCAACTCCCAGAAGCCTCAGCCGCCTGGAGCAACGTCCAAGGATTCTGGGAAATGAAGTCAGTTATTGAGAAGGCTGGAGTTCTGCAGGCCATGAATTACTATCTGCTCAACTTTGCCTGTCGTTTGGAAGCTGCACAAAAAAGAGCCCTATGCAGTAAATATTTACAAAAACAAAACACTACAGCAGGTATGGGCAAACTTGGGCCCTCCAGGTGCTTTGGATTTCAACTCCCACCATTCCTAACAGCCTCAGGCCCTTTCCTTTTCCCCCTTTTCCCCGCTTAAGCGGCTGAGGGGGGAAAGGAAGGGGCCTGAGGCTGTTAGGAATGGTGGGAGTTGAAATCCAAAGCACCTGGAGGGCCCAAGTTTGCACTACACTATACTTGCTCTGCATTTCAACCCTTTCCTGGTGAAAGGTATGACAAAACTATTTCAGTTGGGGAAAAAAAATATGACAAACCTGCCTGTCACTCACCTGTGACGTAGGAGATTCCCCACCCGAGAGAAGCCCCGAGGAAGCAGATCCAAATATGGTTCAAAAGGAAGGGCCGGCGGCGCAACTTCGGCAGCAGGACAACCCCTCCCGTAGGCTCCCCGGGAGTCCCAGCGGGTCACGTGATCTCCAGCGCCCTGGCAAGAGGGCGGAAGTGCTTCATTTGGTAAGCAACCAGCCAGGCGGATTGCCCGGTCTAGCAATGGCGGCCGAAGGCCTTTCCCAGCCTTAGGGGCATCTAAGTCCACGAGAACCAATGCCTTGAGAAGGGCGTAATTTTTGTCACCGCCCCATCAAATTCAGAAAAAAATGTGTGTGTTTGTGTATACACACACAAAGAGATTAGTCATAGGGCCAAACTAGCTTCCTCGTTTCCTCTTAAATATAAAGTTTATTAATAATGTTATAATCAATGCAGCTTGACATCACTTTAACTGCCACGGCTCAATGCTATCAAATCCTGGGAGTCGTAGTTTGGTGACGCACCAGCGTTCTTTGGCAAAGAAGGCTAAAAGACCTTGTCAAACTGCAACTCCTAGGATTCCATCGCATTGAGCAGTCAATGTGGTGTCAAAACTGCATTTCTTTTACAGTGTTTATGCACCCCATGAATCTATTTAAACTGCCACATAGCCCCTATAATCCCGTTCAAAGCCTCCCTGTCGGTCGTCACCACCCCCAACTCCTTCAAGGTCAATCCAGTCACTTCAAGGATACCATCCATCCATCTTGCCCTTGGTCGGCCCCTCTTCCTTTTTCCTTCCATTTTCCCCAGCATCATACTCTTCTCTAAGCTTTCCTTTCTTCTCATGATGTGGCCAAAGTACTTCATCTTGGCCTCTACTATCCTTCCCTCCAATGATCAGTCGGGCTTTATTTCTTGAAGTATGGACTGGTTGGGTCTTCTCACTGTCCAAGGCACTCTCAGAACTTTCCTCCAACACCACAGTTCAAAAGCATATCTTCCTTCGCTCAGCCTTCCCTATGGTCCAGCTCTTTGTCACTGCCTCCACGTTTTCTCCCTCTATTTCCCAGTTGTCAATCATTTTTGACCAATCTTGGTTTTTTTTATGTTTAACTGCAACCCAGTTTTTGTGCTTTCTTCTTTCACCTTGATTAGAAGGCTCCTTAATCAACCCTTAAGGTAAAGGTAAAGGTAGTCCCCTGACATTAAGTCCAGTCATGTCTGACTCTGGGGTGTGGTGCTCATCTCCATTTCTAAGCCTAAGAGCCAGCGTTGTCCGTAGACACCTCCAAGGTCATGTAGCCGGCATGACTGCATGGAGCACTGTTACCTTCCCGCCAGAGCGGTACCTATTGATCTACTCACATTTGCATGTTTTCGAACTGCTAGGTTGGCAGAAGCTAGGGCTGACAGCGGAAGCTCACACCGCTCCCCGGGATCGAACCTGCGACCTTTCGATCAACAAGCTCAGCAGCTCAGTGCTTTAACCCACTGCGCCACCGGGGGCTCCCTTAATCAACCCTTAATAAACCCTTAATTGTTGTTGTTGTTCATTCGTTCAGTCGTCTCCGACTCTTCGTGACCTCATGGACCAGACCACACCAGAGCTCCCTGTCGGCCGTCACCACCCCCAGCTCCTTCAA